CTCAACAGACAATAGTCTCCACCTCTAAGATCTCTCATCCATGCAGATTCTCTTTCCAATTAAGCTTTCATTTCTGATCTATTGATGTCAATCCCTTAGCCGTTGGGACTTGGGACGTCTCCGTCGCGGGCGGTGCAGATATGAATCCCACCAACCCCACGCCGGGGACTTCCACAATCACCGGCTCCGCCGTCACTTTCCAGCCTCCCCCAAGCCACCGGATCCTCGAGATCTGCCTCATCTCCGCCAAAGATCTCTCCCCCGTCTCTAAGCCTCTCCGCTCCTACGCCCTCATCTGGGTCCACCCCAATCGGAAGCGCTCCACCGGCATCGATCAGAACGGAAATACCAATCCCGCATGGAACGACAAGTTTTCGTTTCGGGTCACCGATGAATTCCTCAACTCCGAACGTTCCGCCGTGAACGTTGAGATTTACGCCTCATCGTGGTTCCGCGATGTGCTCGTCGGGACGGTCCGCGTCACTACCAGCAATCTCATCACGCCGATCGCCGTCAATGGCCAGAGATTCGTGGCTCTTCAGGTTCGCCGTCCCTCCGGTAATCATCAGGGAATTCTGAACATGGCGGTTTCCCTAATCGACCGTAGAGTCAATGCCAAAGGGGAAATCGTGGATATGAAAATGGGGAAGATGGTGAGCGTGCCTGAATACGAAGACGACGACGACGATGACGACGAAGACGAGGAGAAACAGAAACTCAACGCCAAAATCCAACAATGGCGAGCCACGTCCCTCAACGAGGATTTCCCGGGAAAGCCGGGATCCATGGTGGACGGATCGGTGTGCAACGGATCACTCATAAACGCCGGATCCGAAATCTGCTCCGATATTGGGCCGTCGGCTTCGGTGGTCGCGGCGGAGATAATCCGAAAATCGCAGTTGTCGCCGTCGCAGCCGCCGAAGGAGGCGCCTCCGCCGGCCAAGAAGGGAAAAGGAAAAGGCGATGACGGCGAAGAGAGCATGATATTGGAAGACATGACGGCGGAGGAAGCGGCGGCGAAAGGGCTGAACACGACGAGCGTTGAAAGGTGGAAGCGGGGAGATGCGGCGAAACCTCACGGGAAGAAGGGGCATGGCGGGCAGGATAAAGACGGCAAGGTGAAGTGTTTCGCAAACGCTTACGGGTTTGAGTTCACCATAGTTTGCGGGGCCGGCAACGGCAACGGAAGTAAAGTCAATAAGGCCGGAAAATCCAAGACTTGATGAAGATGGATGAGTAGGCTGGCTGGAGATCGAATTAATTCTGCTTAATTAGCTCCTAAAATGCTACAATTTTACCTACTAATTACAGTAATTAATTAAATAATTTTGGAGATTTCATTCCATTCTTCCCAAAAAGGTTGAATCCCCAACCTAGGCCCCCACCCCACACCCCGGCCCAACAAAACATATGTGGAAGAATAGAGATTTCATTTTATTATCATATAATTACTGTAAATTCCAAACTCTTGTTTTGTATAAAATTTTCCTAATCTTCTATCTTTGATTTCCATTAAATCATTTGTATTGTGGAATCGTGGTACTTACCTCAGATTTGTTCTAAGGTAATAAATTAAAGTTGCTTTTTTTGATATTACGTATAGTATATATGTTTGTCCCATTTTGCGACATTATTATGTGATGTGCATGCATAACGATCATGTCATTGATTATATTTTAAATAATTTGCACAATCACTCATTGCTCCAACCATTACACTATTGCATGGTTACATTTGAGTGATATTTTGAGGTAATATAATATTATTGATTTATCAGAAATATCACATACATGACATAAAAATATGAGGAATATGATTCCAATAAAAGATTTTTAAAAAGAACTGAGCTAAGAATAAAATTTAGAAATATCATATTCCTGCATAATCTCACATTCCTGGGAATCAAACAAAGAAATTTGAAATTATATATTCACGTACCTAAATTTATGTGAGAACTTGGACCAAACACCCATTAGTTGTATGCCCAATTAGAACCTGGATCATCAATTTATGAATAACATGAATACACAACGAGGCTAGGCCCAATTATTATTTTGCTATTCTCTTTAGCGCCAAATCGTTCTATCTTATATTTCAAGTTTTTGTGTCCATTTTATGTATTAATTAACAAGATTTGACTCAATTAAATTCTTTTTATGTTTAAGAACTATACTAAAAACATTATTAAAAACAAAAATTCAAATATAAAACTATAAGAAAATGTTTAAAAATAAGTACAAAAAAAGATTTGATCAATAATAATAATAATATTATAAAGCAACGGTTTGGATGCTTGAAACACAATACAATGTTTCTTTTATAAAATCAAATTAAACAAAGAGTTTTTGTATTCTTTCCTTTTACATTACTTACGATTTACGAAATCTGATCTGGATTTCTTGAGGGGTACTGGTCAATGGATTCTAAGATTAAGTTTTGATAAAGAGGGCAAACCCAATCTATTTGATTTTCAGTTAATTTTATAATCACACAAATTTAAATTTGACAATTGACTTAGTAATTATATGACAATTAATGTGATTTTTTTTTTTTTTTTGGTATTATTTGTTAGCTTACCTTGTTTGCAAGCTTAATATAATAATAAGTTCACAAGTCTAACTTTTATGATAAAAATTTGTGTAAGACCATCTCACGTATTATTGTCTATAAAACATGTCGGCGGGTCAATATGAAATGTAATATTTATACTAGTAACTGTAATATTAAATTAAAAATAAAATATTTATTAATTATATGATAAAATATAATATTTTTCTTTTTATAAGGGAAAAATATAATACAATATTACATAAATCAAAGGGTTTTGATCGATAAGGAGAGTTGCACACATTTCCACATTCATGCACACAGCGCTCTCTTGCTGGAAGTTTGGACGTAAGATACTTTGTGCTTGTCGGATATTCCCATCTTATAATATAACATAACATAGTCGGCGGTCCTTTTCCATGTTACAATCTTTAACCCATTAAATATAAACTATGTTTTTATCGCATTCAAAAAAAACTATGTTTTTATCGTCATTCGTGCCTCTTTATTGGATGGATAACTCTTACATGTATATATATATTAGCACATGTAATAACCCATCGATATTTAATGATTGAAAAATGTTCGGAGCTTATTTGTATTGTTAGGTAAAATAGTTAACTTTTTAATTAATTTTAACTTATTTGATTATTACTAATTGTTTGATTTGGTTAAATAATCAATATGAATGTTTGATTAATTAACTTTTTATTATTTTAAAAGGTTAAACCCTAATCCTAAAGGTCCTCCACACTCTGATATGACAAAGCATTTGGAAAGATGTAAATCATGGTAACTCAACTGAACATGAACCACAGAGATTAGACCTTTGCTCACTGCGCACAAGGAATCCCCCTCACTTTGAGAGGTAGCTCCCACAGACCACAGTGTCGTTGGTGAGACTCGATTCTTGGTCATTCTTCAAAACTTTTTATAATAACCTATTGTTTCAAAATATTAAAATTCAAAAAAACTGACCAAAACAACTTTTTTGATAAGATTTGGAGAAAGTAATTTTGTATATAATAAACTATTAACTAATAACTAATTTTATCAAACTAGAGTTGGTATCCGTTTAATTATAATTTCGCTACATAGATCATAGTATGGATATGAAAATTTTGAAGAAACTCTTGTTATTTGTTAGATTTTAATTTGAAGGAGGACATTATGGGTTCCCTCGGTCAAGGAGGGTCCTTTGTGATGAGTATTGAGATTTTTTTCTCTATATATATATAGAAGGGGAGACAAAAGGGGTTAGGAATAGATAAGTTGGAAGGTTGTGTGGTTGAAGTAGAACTTAAGAAGATGGAGATGAGATCATTAATGGCGGCTTCAGCTTCTACAGGTCAACGCCCCTATCACTCATCATCATCTTTCACTTTCACGTGCTATTAGAGACGTGAAAGAAACCATCAATTTTTCATTATCATGCTTCCATTTCACCATTTTTTGTTGGGAGACCAAGAAATCACCTAATTAAAATATATGTTTTTTTTTTTTTTTTTTTTTTTTTTTGTGTAATACATTAATAGCTTATAAATTATATATGAGAAATAAATTAAATAAAAAAGATTGTGCCACCATCTTGATAAAAAAATATTAATCATAACCAAATTTATAACATTATAGTTCGATGGCTATTCATGTGTAGTACAAATAAACAATTTGTTTACTTCTAGTTTGTAATTAAAGTATAACATAATTTTTGTACGAGATTGTAACCATAATCAATTTATTATATGGATATCAATTTTTGAGTTTATGTAGTACAAATAAACAAATGAGATTGATGAGTTGTTTTAAATTTACTACATGAATATTAATTTAAAATTGTTTTATAGTACTAATAGCCGTCAGTACAAATAGCATTTGGTACAATCATATTAATATATATAATTATATAAAATTTAGGAAAAAGGGTCAAACAGGCCCTCAAACTTTAGCTTAAAAGTCAATTAGGCCCCTAAATTTTTTAAAGGTGTAATTACACCCATCACAATTCATTTAAGTGCAATGAAACTCAAAAACAAATTAATGACCTGCTATCACAGGTCATTAGTGTTCAGGCCACCTTCTGGCGAATTTTCCGGCAAAAAAAAAAAGTGATCAGCGAAATTTTTGACAAAAGAAGTGACCGGCGAAATTTTCGACAAATCTAGGTTGGTTGCTGTTCACCTTTTTTTTTGTCAGAAAATTCGCCGGAAGGTGGCCTGAACCTTAATGACCTGTGATAGCAGGTCATTAACTTATTTTTAGACTTCATTGTACTTAAATGAATTGTTGATGGGTGTAATTGAACCTTTAAAAAGTTTAGAGGCTTAATTGACTTTTAAGCTTCGAGGATCTATTTGACCCTTTTCCCTAAAATTTATAACTTTTGTAAATAGTACTATAAAATTTAACATTGCCCTTTCTCCCTATATAAGAGTCAGCTCTTACCACTCTACTCTACGCCAAGGAAACGGTAGAATTGTCCTCCCTTGTTTTCTTGCTTGACTTTTCCCAACTCCTATGCGACTTGGTAGTTGGAATTTGCATAGAAATGATAGAATGCATTGGAAAGAGAGGGAGAGAATAGAAAACTGTAATTCCCTCCCACCAACTCCAGCAGACAAAAACTAGAAAAAGAACAAAAAACAGAAATTCTCCTTCTACCAGCTGGGAATAGAAGCCTGAGAGAGGTGGATTTTGGGAATCTTGATTTGCAATTTGCAGTTTGTGATCAAGAAGCTAAGAGAGGAGAAGGAAAGAAGAGAATGTTTGGGAGGGAGTGCTGCTGTTGCTGGGACAGTCATAGTTCCCTGTTACCAGTAGAACAACCTCAAACCTTTTCCCTGCCTTCCCCTCTCCCCCAGTGGCCTCAAGGTATCTCTCTCTCTCTCTCTCTCTGTTTTTGATCAATTGTTCTTGAGTTTTTATTGCTAATGATCCCAAAGTTGCTCTCTTTTTGACTTTTTGGTTTTGGGTCTGCATAGTTATCAGTTAATTTTTAGAAAAAGGTCATGACTTTGATTCGAATTTGGTGTGCAATTTTATGGTTTTGGGTGTAGGGCTATTCTTTACCATTTGGTTCCTTCCCTTTTTGGATGGAGTTCTGGAATCTATTTCTTGTGTTGGTAGTTGATACTATGCTTTATGCACTTTTCTGGGCTGAGAAAGAGATGTTTTGCTGGAATATATCCTAATAACCTCACCAGTTCCTCTAAAAAACTGGGTTTTGTTTTCATTTAATAGTGTTAGAATATTAGGAAGCTGCTCTGAGCATTTGGCTTTTGCACTAACACATTAAGAATGTTATTGTCATTAAATTTGGGCTAAGAAATTAAGACACTGGCCATTTGAGATCATGGCTAGTGAGTAATTTCTTCTTAATTACCTCACTTTACTCAGTTAAAGTTCAATATCTTCACTTGGAACTCTTGAAATGGATCAAACTTTTCAGCATATATGGAGCCTGATGGTCATGGAATTAAAACATATAAATAGATAGCTATTTACTTGTTGAATTGTGGCATCTACTTATGTTTCGTTGATCCATATGGAACAACTTTAAGAAAAACAAATTTTCGTCTTTAGTATTTCTCACGATTGGAGCCCATGGTTCCATCCTGATTCGCGGATTGGGAGACAATATGGTTTTACCCTTTTTTTTTTTCCTTATAGTTTATGTATATGCACAAATGTGGAGAGAGTGGATATGTTTGCAGTTTATGTAAAGCAGTTGTCTTGATAGTGGATTGAAGAAGTCATTTAACGTTATTCTTGATATGTTTGCTTAGTATACTGACCGATGTGATGCATTTTCCACAGGTAATGGTAATGATTTTGCAACTGGAAGAATATGCCTAGGGGAAATTGAAGTAGCTCAAATCACTCAGTTTGAGAAAATATGGAGCTACAGCCCGATGTTTGAAAAATCAAACAGTATTACATTTTATCGTCCGGTGGAAATTCCTGATGGATTTTCAGTTCTTGGTCATTACTGTCAACTCGATGATCTTCCCTTGAGAGGCTATGTTCTGGTTGCTAGAGATTTGTCTGTTTCAGATAACTTTGTTCAAGATTCGGGGCCAGATCTTCCTGCTCTCGAGAAGCCTCTTGGCTACACTTTGGTCTGGAGTAAAGATTTTTGTCTTAGCGGGTCTGGTTACATTTGGCTGCCAAATGCACCAGACGGTTATAAACCAATGGGCTTTGTGGTAACCACTGAGCCTGATGAACCTGATCTCGAAGATGTTAAATGTGTTCGAGCTGACCTCACTGATGATGCTGAAACCTGCGACACAATCTTTAGTACTGGCTCAATCTTGTCGAAGACCCAACTTCACGTTTGGACAACAAGACCCTGCGAGAGGGGGCTGTTGTGTAATGGCGTTTCAGTTGGGACGTTTTTCTGCAGTAGTTCTGGAGATGACCTTGATATAGCCTGTTTGAAAAACCTCGACTCTTCTCAGGCTGCAATGCCAAACCTGGAGCAGATTCACGCTCTCATCAACCACTATGGCCCAACCGTTTACTTCCATCCGGATGAGGTTTATTTGCCTTCATCAGTTCCGTGGTTCTTCAAAAACGGTGCTCTTTTATACAAATATGGAATGAATGGTGGCATAGCTGTCGACTCTCTAGGCTCAAATTTGCCACCAGGGGGGGAAAACGATGGGGAATTTTGGCTTGATTTGCCAGATGATGACGATGAAGCTAAGAATTATATCAAGTGTGGCAATATTGACAGTGCTGAACTGTATGTTCATGTAAAGCCAGCTTTAGGGGGGACTTTCACCGATATTGCAATGTGGATCTTTTGCCCCTTCAACGGCCCAGCCACCTTAAAACTATGGTTGTGGGATTTCGAAATGAACAAAGTAGGCGAGCATGTTGGTGATTGGGAGCATTACACTCTACGAATTAGCAACTTCACCGGAGAACTTTGGTCGGTGTATTTCTCTGAGCACAGTGGCGGTGAATGGGTGGATGCCAGTGACCTGGAGTTTATCGAGGGAAACAAGTGTATAGTATACTCATCAAGAAATGGCCACGCGAGCTTCCCTCATGCTGGCTGTTACCTTCAAGGCTCTTCGGTTCTTGGAATAGGAGTAAGGAATGATTGCGATACGAGCAAGTATTACCTGGACTCAAGCACCAAGTATCAAATCATTGCAGCTGAGCACCTCGGAGTGGGAGTCGTTGCAGAACCGCCTTGGTTACAGTACATGAGGGAGTGGGGCCCTACTATCGAATACGATTCCACATCTGAGGTGGATAAGATAATCAACCACCTTCCCTTCTTCATTAGACTTTCAGTGGAGACTCTCTTTGAACTGTTCCCAACTGAACTATATGGCGAGGCTGGGCCAACAGGACCAAAAGAGAAGAACAATTGGTTTGGGGATGAAAGGTGAAGCAGATCGCATTTAAAAGCACCATGATTACCATGAAAGCTGCAGATTACCTATTGGTAATGTGAAATTGTAAAGAGAACATTTTTTTGTCAGCTTTCTGTGCTAATTGTTGTCTGTATGTAATGCTTATAGAAGATTTGAGTGCAATGATATAGTACTTCTGTTTAGTACAATCTACATATGCATGATCAAAGAAGAAAAGGGAAATACTATTACAATAATATCATCATAATCTCAACTTTACAAGCCAGTTTCCTTTTTTGGAATCCTCATAAGTAATCTTATACTGGGTACTAGCAATTACCCAAGGCAAAATGGAAAAGATGAGTAAAAATATAATCTTTACATAAGAACAAGGTTTTGGGTTGCTATAGAAGGCCTATGACTGGTGAATGAGCAAAGATTAACTTCTCCTTATTAGAATTTAATCCCCAATTGTTCTCACAGATGCTTTTCCTTCTTGGTTTAGCCTCTGCAAGCATTGTTATGATGTCTCTCATGGATGGCCTGTCCTTGGGGAGCTTCGAAGTGCAGAGAATCGCGATTTTAAGGACTAAAAGCATCTCTTCTTGGACATGTTTGCACTTCCCAGCTATATCAGGTTCCAGCACTTCTTCTGAGGTATTGCTGCTCTTTTTCCTTCTAACCCATTCGACGATATCTGTGGCTTCCCCAAATGCAGGATCTAATGGCATTTTCCCTGTCAGAAGCTCCAGAAGTACTACCCCGTAACTATATATGTCACTCTTTTCATCAACCTTCAATGTGTATCCATATTCTGCAGATTGGATAAGAGAAAGAAAAAGATTAGTTTTTGAGAATTGTCGAATTGATGTTGAAGGAAGCAGCCAGCTAACCTGGTGCTATGTAGCCATATGATCCAGCTACCATGGAAACTGTTTCGTTCTTTCTCTGCATCATTCTTGCCAGGCCAAAGTCTGCGATTCTTGCCTCGAGATTTGAGTCTAGTAAGATGTTGTTGGGCTTGACATCGCGGTGGATGACTGGGGGGTAGCAGTCGTGGTGAAGGTAAGCTAGGCCATGAGCAACACCGAGAGCAATGTTGTACCTCGAGACCCAATCCACGAGCATCTTTCCAGCTTCGTTTCCATGCAATGCTGCACCGAGGTTTCCATTGGGCATGTACTCGTAAACCATCATAACATCTGTTTCATTGTGGAGATAGCCCAAGAGGCGGACTATGTTTCTGTGACGAAGCTTCCCCAGAAGATCCACTTCTGCTAGGAGATCATCCCCGGGGGTCTCGAGGTCTCCACCCGTTCTCCATAGCTTCTTTACTGCCACTACAGAGTGGGGGTGCTGAGTTTCAGCCTTGTACACAATTCCAGTGCCTCCAATGCCAATCACATTCGATTCCTTCAAGCAGGCCAAGATGTCTGTGCTGGTGAAATCCAGCCTCTGAAAGGCTACGAGTCTCCAAGGCCATTCTGAGCTGTTCTTCTTGAACCAATCGTTGAAGAAGATTTCGTACATATCCCGCCTATGATACAGCCATTTTGCTGCAAGGACCATGATCCCGAGAGCTAAAATGACAGATATTCCAACCACGGATCCTAGGACGATGTGTTGAACGTGGTTTTTCCTTGTCTGGGAAGGGGTGGAGAGACGAAGAGGAGAGCATGGTGGAAGTATGCCACCACAAAGACCAGCATTGCCTATAAGGTCATTGGGATTAATGGTCATTAGTATGCCATTGCTCGGGAGAGGACCCTCGAGCTTGTTGTATGACAAGTTAACCATTTCGAGAGCTGGAGAGCTCCCGAAATTCTCTGGTATCTTTCCAGCAAGGGAATTGTTTGAGAGATCAAGAATGGCTAGTGTTGGCATTGTGGCAATGGCTTTTGGGATTTCTCCAGTGAATTGGTTGTTTCTAAGGTTTAACCTCACAAGCTTTTCACACGAAGCGATGCTTTGGGGAATTTCTCCTGAGAATTGGTTGTTTGACAGATCAAGCACCGAGAGAGAAGGGCAGTCCTGGAACTGATCAGGAATGTTTCCCCCGAGCTTGTTGTTCGAGGCTATGAAGGTTTGAAGGCTCGGGATGGATAAAATGGCTGAGGGTAATGATGATTCAAGGTGGTTCCATGAGACATCAATGAATGAAAGTGAAGTGGACAGTGAAAAATCACCTGGAATCTCACCAGTGAAATTGTTTCTAGCCAATTCCAGCCTCTGAAGCTTGGAAAGATCCCCAAAACCAGCTGGGATTGTGCCAGAAAACATGTTATTCTGGATTCTAACTCGGATTAAAGAAGAACAATTCGCGAGGCCTAATGGGATGGACCCCGAGAAGGAATTGTTGAAGAGGATGAGTTTGATCAGATTGCCATAGTTGCACAATCCAGAAGGAACCTCACCTGTCAAAAGATTCGTCGAGACATCTAGCCATTGCAAGGGAGAATTTTTCCCAAGATCCTTTGGCAAAGATCCATTTAGTGAATTCTCCCAGAGCTCAAGAACTTCAAGCTTTGTCAGCTCCCCTAGCTTTCTTGGAATCGGACCTGTCAGCCGATTGCACATGAGATTCAGCAGCTGCAGATTCTTCAACTCTGCTATCTCATTCGGGATCTCCCCGGAAAATCTGTTATCAGAAAGATCCAAGAACATCAAAGAACTAATATTTCCAATTTCAGGTGGGATCTTCCCTTCAAAGCTGTTCCGGTACAGGTAAACCGTGGTGAGATTCTTTAACTTTGCTAACTCAACTGGGATTTCACCACTCAGGGTGCCAACAGCCAGGTCAAGATAATTAAGTCTAGTGAGATTACCAAACTCTGCTGGAATCGAACCTTCAAACTGATTGTACCCAAGAATGATAGTCTCGACTGACTTCAACTCACCAAGCTCGGGTGGGATCTTCCCAGTGAGATTATTCCCAGACAGGCCAAGAAACTTCAGCCTCTGCAGATTCTTGAAAGAACCCGGAATTGAGCCTTCAAAGAAGCTCCCGCGAAAATCCACCTCTTCTAGCCCGGTTGCATTCCCAAGATCCTCAGGCAGTAACCCCACAAAATTGTTGCTCGAAGCATTCAGATATCTCAGCCCAGGCGCCCTCCCAATCCCTCCTGGAAACGTGCCAACAAAGCTGTTAGAACTCACGTCGAGGCTCCTCAACAAAGTGAGATTAGCCAGGGAGCGTGGCAACGATGAAGACAAGTAATTGCAGCACAAGTTCAGATCAGACAGGACACTCAACCCATGAATCTTTTCTGAAACATGGCCACTGAGGTTCCTGTTCGACAAGTCCAGCTTCTCCACAACGCCTTTCGAGTTGCAGAACACTCCAGTCCAGGTGCAATAATGAACTGAAGTGTTGCCACTTTCTTCCCAGTCTTTCAGGTGACCCATTGGATCAACCAGACCAGCCTTAATTGACAGCAACACTGATACTTCATCATCATCATCTCCATTGACAAAAACTAAAGACAGAACAATACAACAGTACAAGAAAACAATGTGGATTTTCATCTTCATGTCTTCTGTTTCTTGCTCTCTCCCTCTCAGTTTCTCATCTTTTTTGTTTTTCTGGTTCTTGGAACAACTGAAACTAAAGTTAAACACACATTTATGAGTTAGTTATGGTCCATGGACCATGATAATGATTACCCAAAGTGGGGTCCATGCCCATCTGCAAGAAAGAAGATGTTTGGGAATGTGTAAGTGAAGAAGAATCTAATGATCAAACTAATAACACTAATAATAATAATAAGGTGATTAAATTATAATTAATGTAAATTCGTGAGGTCTTGGGATCTGAACCAGCTAGTAATCTGCAGGTAATGACTGTAAAGCTTTTGGAGTTATTAAAAGTGGAACAGACATTAAAACATGGAGGGAATGTGTTGCAGTTTGGTCAACCCAAGTTTCTGACAATATAATGATGTTCTTTTTCCTTAATCTTTCCTCTAATCTGCATACATTATATATGGTTAAAACTTTATTACAATCTCATCTGTTCCTTAATTGGCTCTACATATTATTGTCAGTGAATTTGTATACATTAGTACTTGTGGACTGTAGAGAAGGTGCATATATACAGAAAAATGAAAGGAAAAGATGGATCATTCATCAGTGTCTGTCCACCAAACGCCATTTCCATTTTCCACTGAACACCAAAATTTGATCTTACTCGACATGCACTCACATGGACCCATCTGGCAAAATGAATCTTTTTTTATTATATTATTTTATTTTAAACAATAATGTAATGATAACTGGGAAGATCGAGTACAGTACATGGGTGTGTGCTAATGCATGATATGTTAATAATGCAGACCCAAAGAAAAAGTTGCTGCCCATGTGACCCAACTCAGGGCTCCATGCACGCAGCTTCCTAGCTTCAGTGACAATGGACTATATATATATATGTATATAATTTTTTTACCTAAAGGTTATGGATTATATATATTGAAAAAATGTTCAAATTGACCACTGAACGTGTGACACAACTATCAGCTTAAGCTTTTAGTTGTGATTGGGCACATGTTTCAATTTAGTATCAGAGCCATGAGCGAACCCACCGCACACGTGAGGGGGCAACGGCACTGAACACCTCAAAGATATGTAATTTTACCTGATAGCAGATTAACGTCTATTTCTTCTGATTGCCTGGTGAGTTAATATTTTTTAAATAATTTTTATTATGGGTCGGAACGAGCCAATTCGATGAATTTAGCCTGTTTTAACCATTCTATTACTAGTAATTTTTTATATCAAATATATCATACAAATTTACCTAGTACCCTTTAGTTATAATTATGAGTTTTCCTTTTCACTGAAAGATAGATAGAGTGGGCTATATATATATTATTTCATTTCATATGTATAGTATTGATGATTGAGATATGCATATATGTAATTTTGTGAAATGTAGTGTTGATTGATTTTGATTAATCAAACGGCGGCAACAGCATCAGAATCCATATATGCGGTGGAGGATTAGGTGCCCCCACATGGCTTTCAATCAAAAGCTACCCACCCCACACTACTATACTATACCCTTCATCATTCATCCTATATCGAATTGGACAACTTATCTTTCTTATATTATTGTATAAACCAATCAACAAGTTGTTTTTAGTTTTTTTTTTATTTTTTTTTTATTTTCTTCTTTTAGGTTTTCTCAACTCAATTGATATACATCATACATGCATGCATGGTATTCTGCTAAAAAAAGCCCTTCGTTTCATACTACCGAAAAGTGATGATATGAAAACAAAATGTGTGGACATTGTAATAATATATAGTTTTAATCATCATATTTATTATATATTCATTTATTTAATAATAATTGGAATATAAGTGTCATTGTTTTAACACAGTTCCAATGTGTACCTATATATAGAATTTATCACCATTCAGGACTAAGCTTAACCTAGCTAGTCGAATCGTAGCGAGCTTGTAAGGATTGGTCTAGCTAGATTCTTTCTCAATTTAAGAGGAATTCATTCAAGGAATTATATAATGTAGAATCGATCTTGATGGACTTTGTAGCAAGTGATCCAAACTAGATCCTCCCATAACAAAGGTCCAGCCCAAAATCGACATGATCCATAATTTGGGCCAAACCTTTACTACTACCTCTACACAGCTATAATACAGACATAGAAGATTAGAAGGCTCAAGTCACAAAATTTGTTTTTTTGGGTTGTAGTGTCCATACATGCATAATTTAGTAGTAATTAGCAAGCAGCCCATATTTAGCCCATTTAAACTATGGGCAAAACTTGGTAGTATTCAACCCAATAAGCCGGTTGGAATTTTTTTTAAAAAATATTTTAAATAACTAGATTTCTCGAATTTTTTGAACTATATCTTAGACCCATGAACGTAACTCATAAGAAGATAAAATAAGTTAATTTAACTTCAAAACTCAATACCGTACCAAATTATACATTTTTGCGTAGAAAGAGCCCAATTGTCGAATCCAAACCCAAAACTTCAATGTTTGTGGTAAGTTTAAATCCCCACATTGCTGCTTGAAACAAGTATTGAATGAGATTTATCGTCCACTAGAATAATACCTTGGAGTGAATTTGGATTTTTATTATGCATTAAAATTTTACCGCCAGAAAAAGGATAAATTATATTATAGACCATAGTTCACATTATAAGCTAAATTACTGATAAATATTCATTTTGAATATACTAAAAGTCCATTTTAGTGTATTATTAGTTAAATTTTAGATAATATTTAAAAAATAAATTTGCAGTACACTAAAAAATAACTTTTGAAAAATATAAACCTTTAATAAAATTAAAATAAACTTTTAGGCTTGAGTATATTAAAAGTAATTTAAAGTCGTATGTTAGTGGCATATAGTATCATGTGAACTATGGTTTATTGTATAATGATGGATAAACATGATGTAAAAATGCTTCCAAAATAATTAAATTGAAAAAAAGAAAAAAAGATAAGAGGGAGTAGCAAGAGAAAGACAACAAAGTAAAGGACCGTAGTATGATGTTATGAGAATTAAAGGACTGAATTGTGATTTGAGCACACAAAAAAAAAACAGAAAGGAAAACCTCAGAGGAAACCAAATCTAACGTCGGATGCTTAAAACTCTTAAAAATTTTGTACAATTGAAACTATGCTCTGAACTCTCTTTCTCGATTGATCGATCGATATATCCGCCCGATCGAGGTATGGCTCTTCACTTCTTCTTCGCCACTTCTTTACTTGCACCCACAACCCCCGCTCGATGACAACACATTATGACATGCACGTGATCATACGGAAACTGATATTTCGTTAATTACTAGGAATGGCAATGTTGGGTTTTCGTGATTCATGTTATTACTGGAAGAATTCTCTGGGTCTACAGTTTATTGCTGAAAATTTTCTGTGCCTATGTTTATGACATTTACATAAGAAGTTAAGGCCCAAAGTTTCCTGTTTTAGCAGGCGGCATTTTGTTGGGAAAGTTGTCTTTTTTATTATCTGGGCAATTCCCACAACCTGTGTTTTCAGGGGTTGAGGGTTCTTTACCTAATGTCAGTGGGTTTAAGCTCACATATGCACGGGTTTGGACTGTTTAGTATTATTTTAATTTCTCTCTGTTTGCACACTTCTGGCTGTTAATGCTAATAGGGTTTTGAGTTTTGAGTTAGTTTTATGGTTTGGGCTAGGCTGTAGTGAAATCATCTATCCAGGTTGGAATTGAGAAAAGAAAGTGATTAGATGAGTTGGTACTTGGCAGTTCTTGGATCAAGTTGTTCATATATAGCTATTAGTATACCATGGACTAATCCTGATCTTTGAAAGATGCTGCAGCTAATTTGAAGATATATCGTTCATCCTTTAATAGCATGGTAACCTCCTTATTAATTATTATAGTTTTGATAAGTCCCGCGTTTTGCATTGTTGATTGGAGTTTCCTAATTCCTTTGCAGAATTATATACTTGGAGCTTTTAAGCCAGCATGCCACATTGTAATCACATTTTCGGATGGAAAGTCACGGAAACAGGTGTGTGTGTGATCTTTTTAATTAACCAATTTGCTCTGTGGTACGCTTCCAAGTTTTTCTTTCCATCATTTATTTGCATACATCCTTAGGTCCCACTGAAAAAGGAAAATGGCCGAACAGTAATGGTCCCACTTTTTCAAACTCAAGAAAACATTACTGGGAAGGTATTCTATAATCATTTTTGTTTCTGATGGATTACTTTAATTAAACGTTTTGCAACGCTAGCTAATTAATTTAAAATTTTACTTCACAGATATCAATAGAACCAATATCCGGAAAGAAGGTTGAGCACAATGGCATCAAAGTAGAGCTGCTTGGTCAGATAGGTTAGGTTGTTTCAATATGTATTCTTGTTGGGTGCCATTATTTCTGTGAACATATCTTTATTAGTATCTCTTTTAATTTGTATGTATAAAAATGGTAATTGTATGATCATATCCACCAGTTTTTTTGTGCGCAGAAATGTACTTTGATAGAGGGAACTTGTATGACTTTACCTCACTGGGTGAGTATAATCATTATCCATTATCCATTTTCTTTTCTCTGTTTTTTCTTATTAGCTTTGATTTTTCCTTTGAGGTATTTAATGTAGTCCGAGAGCTGGATGTTCCTGGGGAATTATATGAGAGGAAAACATACCCATTTGACTTTTCAACTGTTGAAATGCCTTATGAATCATACAATGGAGTAAATGTTCGTCTTAGGTAAGTATGGTACATATTGAGGCGAGTATTTATATACCTTTTGCACGATCGAGGCTTTGACTAATTACTCTATTCTTTTGTGTACTTGGGCTTTTATTTAGGATAAATTTACAGGCATTCATTGGTTGCATTGCCTTATCCTTTTTTGATGGTCTTGTTCACGCTCGTATATGTTGATGCTGAGCAAACATGCATGTTTCGGGAATTTAACTCTTTGCTGGTTTAGGTACGTCCTCAAAGTGACAATCAGTCGAGGATATGCTGGAAGCATAGTGGAATTCCAAGACTTTGTGGTAATACATATATATTAATATCCGTTTTATTTTTTGCTTTCCAAGTTATCTTCTAATAACCTGACCGTTATCTTCACATCTATGAATCAGGTGCGCAACTATAGCCCACCTCCGCCAATCAACAATAGTATTAAGGTACTGTTCTTTAGGATGATCACGTCTTGCTCTTTAATTAATCGAGAGGGAAAGGAAACTAACTGTACTTGATTAATATTCTTCGTTGTTTGGAGCTTATTGTAGATGGAAGTTGGGATCGAAGATTGCCTTCATATTGAGTTCGAGTACAACAAGAGCAAGTAAGTTAAGTGGAGTGTAATTAGAAAACGATTTAGCATTCTCGTATGTAATTTTTGTTCAATTATGTGTAAACAGGTATCATTTGAAAGATGTTATTATAGGCAAAGTATATTTCCTTCTCGTGCGAATCAAGATAAAAAATATGGATCTTGAGATCAGACGCATAGAATCTACAGGATCTGGGGCGACTGCCCATGTTCACACAGAGACCCTCGCAAAGTTTGAGTTGATGGATGGTGCTCCTGTCAGAGGTATATAAATCTATCCCCCCTCGGGTTTTCGTAGATTTATGATCAGCGTAACTAGTAGTTTCATGGGAATAGGAATTATTCCAAAAAAAAAAAAAAAGAATAGGAATAGAACACTGCTGTCCTTGATTTTACGACCTTCAAGCTATTGATTAGTAATTTGATGCATGAGATAACGAGTGATTACTTGTTCTCGCTTTCTCAGGTGAATCGATACTCATCAGACTCTTCCTGAGTCCATATGAATTGACACCAACATATCGAAACATCAACAACAAATTTAGCGTGGAATACTATTTGAACCTCGTCCTTGTTGACGAAGAAGACAGGCGGTATTTTAAACAGCAAGAAATCAAACTGTACCGCCTCGCTGACACATCCTGATCTTAATTGATTGGCATTCTCAACTCCTTTTTTTTTTTTTTTTTTTTTTATTGATTCACGTTTGACTCTCTGTTAACGTGACATCTTCTGATTGATTCACGTTTAACTCTACTCTCTGCTAACGTGACATTTTCTGATTGATTCACGTATTACTCACTGTTAACGTGACATGTTTCGATTGATTTACAGTTTATGTGTTATGTTGTGATTGATTAAGAAGAAGTGGGAGTTTTACTACACTTATCATTTTCCATCAAAGAACATGGATTTGGTTGGTCTTGTGGCTGCTGCTTAGCTGGCTTTCTGACTTTTCTTAAGATCTCCACAAAGGTGGTGATTGGTGAAGCATGGGATTTGAACTAACTCAGCACTATGATGATTAGTGATTAATTAAACTCTGTGATTGAGTAGTTGATGAGTCATTAGCCAGCCAATAGAAAATTGTTTAGTGATTATGGATTATGATTCTAACTTTGTTGTTTATCTTAATCTCTTTTGGTCTGTGGTCGCTGTCCGATCCGCTGATTGAGACATTAATAATTATTCATTGCATCAAAGCTTTTGGCACCATACACTGAAATTCATCATCTTCCTTATCCTCAAGTATAAACAACATGATTGCGCCCTGCCCAATTGAGTACACCCCATACACTCAACATCATTAAGCCATGGTCGATGAGTATATGATTCTCGAGAAAATTTCAGTTTTAGTTCAGTGACTATTGGAGTTGTGTTAATTACAACACTTGATTTTCAAAAATGTTAATTTAGTATCTTGGCTATACAATTTTTATCAATTTTGGTCACACCAACCAAATTACCGGTGAATTGTGACCGAAAAATTTTAAGTCAACATTTGAACTAAATTTGAAGGGGTAAAATCGTCTTTTCTTGTTTCTTCCAATTTGGGAAAGTGAATTATTGACCAAAATTACACTCGTATCTAAAGATCATTTTTACACAAGACTAGAGTTTTGGCTTGCAAGTTATTACATACGAATAGAATACATACTCAGTGACTATGAATTTTCTTTGTCATCCGAGAAGAAGAAAGTAAAAAAAGGAAAATGATTACAATGATCTCACAATTATAATTTGACCTAAAACATGTGAGAAATTCGGACAACAAATTTTGTTCTCTTATGTTGTCGGGGTTGTATTTCTCAAGTCATATCTGCCTATAGGGAAATTTATACTTTTGTGTAAATTACATTCAAACTCTAAATGAAAATTCATCGCAACCGTCTATCTAAATAGTTCTAGCGATCATAAACACTTTTATATAAATATAAAAAAAAATACGGTGTCATTTTGTAAATAATTGAACTTTGAAGTGCAAGTAAATTGTGTTAAAAGTACAAATATCAGTTTCATAAAGTGTATTTAAGTTCAAGTAAAATGTATTAAAAGTGCAATAAATAATGTACATTGAGTAACAATATTAAGTGCACTTAACGTTATCATTAGCTGCACCAAACGTTATCATTAAGTGCACCAAAATGAAAGACGTTATCATTAAGTGCACCAATTTGAAAAGGTAAACTAATTACACGAACTATTAAATGTAATTGTGTAAATGGTTGCACTTTTAAGTGATTTTACTTGTACATTGCACTTGTACACTTGCATATGTTACTTGCATTTAAAGTTTTGGTTATTTATAAAAATACCACCTTGTTTTTTTTAAAATTACATCAGATCTGTTGATCTTTTCAGATGGACGGCTCATATTAGTTTATATTTCTCTTGGTGGGTATATATATATATATATATATATATATATATATATATATATATATATACACACACACCACACACACTCACACTGTAGTCACACACATAAGATAACACCTACGCAATCGATCAAAATCTTTTCAGCTAAAATTCTCTAAAACAATATAATTTTATTTCATTAAATTATAATGAATACAATCAATTTACATATAGTTTATGAATATGAAAGATTTCGACAGTAATAAATGTAACATTATTTAGGACAAGATGAAACTTTTTGGAGTATTGAACAATCAAGCTGGCTCTACCCCATGATAAATTATGACATTATTATAAATTATACTAATTATAATGCATACTCCATATATATTAATTGAATTGGGACCCATTACAATATTATAGCATATACTAGAGTGTATTATTGCTAAGTTAGGTTTATCAGATTAAATTATTCCATTTAATATAATCACATGAGTTGTACACTATAATTAATAATACACGTAAACACACTATGAAGTGGGAAGATTTATACCGTGGCCTCAATTAAAAGGTATTAGTAAAAATCAAACTCATAAAATTTAAGTATAAGTATCATGTCCCGACCACCCCTTTGGACTATTATACTTTTTTTTTTTTTTTTTTTTTTGTAGGTGAATTAAGGCATCCCAGTAGGCGCGTGAATAGTCCAATATATATAGAAAAAACATCCTCAATAGCACGCGCCTACTGGGCACGTTATTATTCTATTTTTTTCTTCTTCTTTTTCACTTTTTTTTTTCCTCATCATCTTTATCTTAGTTGACACCTCAAAAACCTATAAAAAAAAATCATATCTATTGAGGATATACTAATGATTTTCCCGTTGAGGGGGTTTTTCCAATATACTCTTCTTCTAATATACCGCTTTGGAAGAGAAGTGAGAGAAAAGAGAATTGGCAAGTTCTTTTACTAAAAGAAAATTGACACTGTTTTTGAAAAACTAAAAACGAAGAAGAAAAAAAAAAGAGGTGAAGCATAACCCGTCAAGTCTGCTGCACGTTTTTTTCCTATTTTGTTTCTCTTTTTATTGCTCGGACAAAAACCCGGCCAACAATTTAAATACTAAACCATTGTTGTTGCTCTAAATACAAGAGATATGAACGCAAAAGTATCGAAAAGAATATAATAATTGAATCAAAAATTTCTTTATTTTCTTTTATTACGTGCATCTGAAAAGAAAGAATAAAACAACACACATAAAATTAAAATATGTCAATAAATTACAAGATTTTTGGGAACAAAATCTTGAATTGTTTAACCAATATGAATGGATACAAGACCACAAAAAATGAAAATGGGAATTTCTTCCATGAGAAGAAACACAATAATATATATGTTTGGAGCTAGGGTTTCCAAATGGAAAGCCCCCCTTTTTTTCTTTGAGCAAGCAAAACCAGTAAGGTAAAGATATTACAAAAACAAGAATATATAAAAAGAGCAAAGCCAAGAATTAGACTTGCCTACATAGTACTTGCATTTCCTCATATCACCAGGCCATATCGATCGATCAGATCATCCTCTTCTTCTGAGTTGCAGTTGGTATAACCGCCGGCCGCCGCTATACTTATTTGATCGATCTCTTCGGCTCTTTCATCGTCCTCCCTCCCGGCCACCGCATCCATGGCGGCCGGCGGCAAAATCCTGCCATGAACTCCCCTAGCTTGCAAACATATATGAAGAACAGATGATCAGAAGATGGAAGAAGAGGCCATGATGAGACAGTCGGGAAGCAATCAATGAGGTCAAATTTTTTATATATAGATCAGAGGGAGAGGAATGGGAATATAATGGAATATATATGGTTTCCATATGGTACAGACGGAAGGCACTATGTTAAATTAAGAAAAGATAACGAGGTGTTTGGTAAATAGATATTAGCTGATTTGTTTAGTAGGTTTGACTAGTTGATAACATTAACTGATTGTAGTAAGATGTTTAGTAATTTAACTGTTAGCTGATTACATCGAAAAATGATTTTCTCAAAATCTGATCGAATTTTAATGTTTTGAAAAAATAATCTATTACAAAAAAAAAAAAAAACTAATTAATCAAACCCTTATATTGACGGTTTAACCAAATCAAACAGTTAATAGTGGCCAAGTAATTTAAAATTGACTAATAAACTAACTATGTTATCAAACCGGACCAATGTTTTTTAAAAGAAAGAAAAAGACATGAAAGGTACATGAGGACCTACATCACCACAACATATGTGTGTGTTTCACAAGTGCACAGTAATGAATATAATTTTCTTTAATTTGTCCTGAACACAATTTAAGTGGTTAACCAATCCAAAAAAATTTATAAGTTTTACTTTATTAGCAAATAGTTGAACTACATTCTGTAATTTACCTTCTTTACCAATTTTCAAGACAAACTATAAGAATTCTTAATTATAGAGTTAAAACTTATCATTTTCTTAAAATTTACAACTATAACGTCAACTTATTCGTGGAAAAATGGGAATCTGATAATAAGGAAAGACTATATATACATAATACATGTGGGACAACTGCCAAGAAAATAATATTACTAAAAAGGTAAAGTCACCAAAATGGGTGGGGAAGGGAAAACGAAAGATGGAGAAGAAAATTGAAATAATAATTATAATATGTGATATGGATTCATAAGTTCATAACCAATAAATATAAAGAATAACATAACACGATAAAATCCTCATTAAATGATACAAATAGCTACACTAAAAAGAACGTACAAATAGAAAGCTTTTCTAGTCATGAAAAATTGGTCAGAAATCAAGAGTTATTTTAACCAGTCATTTTAAGGATTCAAAAAAATGTTGTTGCTATATATTACCAACTACCAACAAATGTTAGAAAGTTTCTTTTACTTTTTGAATGGTCGAAAAAGGTTGAATTTTTAATATTTATGATAGATTTAATACAGGAGGCCAGGGGGAAGCCCTTTCCTCCCTTATTATAGACTGCAAGTTTCTTGCTAAAAGCTTTGACTGTGTGGTGTTCTTTCATGTGCCAAGGGGAAGGGAACAAATTAAATGTGCGGATTTTCTCTTGTCAATTTTGGATAAACAGTTATTTGGGCAACTAAGCTCTTGGAGAATCCAGGTTTAGAAGAATTAGAGAGTCGCCGCTGACACAAAAAAAAAAAATACAAATAATATTTTCCTAAATTTGATTATTCTTTAATGCGTTTTTTTAATTGTTCTAACACAACTTTCTAAGAAATTATTAATTAGGTTTCCTTGTTAAGAAAAAAATCCAATCCCCAGCTAGCTGGCAAGATTGATACATTGTGATTGTGGTCTGGCAATAATGTGTGGAACATCATCAAATTAAAGGGTGTTTGAGCTAGTTGATATACCAAGAATGATTTTATTTTCTTTTCTTTGTGTGATGTGATTGAAGGCCTTGTACTATACTCTATACACTTTAGTGTATAGCTAGTAGTTACGATTATAATCCAAAGTGGATTTTAAAATATATGGCTGAGAAATGATTATAATTATTGGCATTATTAGGCTTTGAATTAATAATAAAGGAACATTTTTAAATGATATGATGATGCCATATGTGTGTCGTTAGGATTGGTTCAAGTAAAAATATGTTTTTTTTTTTAAGTCGTTGATTATCCTAGATTGACGACTTGTATTAGTATGCACCACTTTTTACTTAAACTCTCAACTCCAAATCAATGCAAAACGAAGATGGCGAATTTGTAAATATTGAGAAGATTCAAAAAATTTGCTCGACAAAAAAACGACGTCTGAAAAAAAAAAAAGAAAAACAAATTCAATCTAAACCATTCAATCAATCAAGATGGACATGCAGATAAAGTTCTGTATTTTTTTACTGGAGGCCTTATTCGATCATTTAAATGTGATAAAATTTGACCTGATTACTGGAGGCCTTATTCGATCAATGGCATCATTCATTGGCTATTAGCTTCTTTTTTCTTTTCTTTTTTTGAAACCTTGGCTATTAGCTTCTTCTTTTTCTTTTTTCTTTTTTCTTTTTTCTTTTTTTTTTCTTTCTAAATTATGATAAGTACAACTAACAATATAATACAATTATGAATCATTTACATTAAATACTACGTAGTATTAATTAATTATTAGTATTTTTTTTTGAAAACAATTATTAGTATTTTTAATTACTCTAAATTAAAATATTATTAATACACACTCATATACATACAAGTGTCCCTGTTGTTGGTCATAAACTCAATGCTTTCATTTGGTGGAATCAATTATGAGAGCAAGAAGAAAAATAAATAAATCATTAGGTCCCACTTAGCTTTGGTGGAGATACCATCTTGTACGGACATGAAAGAAAAGAAATTAAAAGAAGTTTGAATATTCATTTACTAGCCAAGAAAAAAGATTGGGCATGCGCTAAGGCAACTCAATGACTTAATTATCATCAATCTCCATCATCACTCACCATTCACAACTAATTAGGGGTTATTTTGGTAAAATAGTTAGCCTATAGGACAATTTTGATTTATTTGACAACTATTAATTGTTTGACTTGGTTTTAAAATCAATATAAGTGTTTGGTTGATTAGCTTTTTGTACTCTAAAATGCTAAAATTCAAAAAGGTACTCAAAGTAACTTTTTCAATTAACTTTTTGAGAAAAGAAATTATACCAAACAACTAATTTACTAAACACCTTTATACAATTAGCTAATGTTATCAACTAGTTACCCTATAATTAACTCAATCAGCTATGTTTCACATTCACATGTAGTTCGGTAGTTAAATAAAATTTAGTGGTCAAACCATATGAATTGCAATTCATTCATACAAAGAAAGGGAAAAGGAAAAAAATGATATATTTGTCCTTGAATGTTATTATTAATATTACTTCTCCCATTTTCATTATGAATAATTCCATTCATCCCTATCAAACAATCTAATTTTAATTCCTACTTTATTAACACCTCATTCTTTTCCCACTGAATTACAATTCATTCCTTTTAACCTGCGAATAAAATCACTAGTTTTCTTGCATGTCGTCACTCGTCTCCTAGATTTGCAATCTACACACATGAAAGGATATGGATAACGTAACACCTTATATTGATGTGATTAGACCACAATTCATGTGATGGCTTTAGATTTTGAATTTTTTTGTTTATGATGTAAAAGAAAAAAAATTCTCCGACAAGTTCTATCCGGATCGGAGATGGACATGACTTGTCTACAAACACTATTCTTACAAAAGAAAATTTGATAGTGGATGCGGCGGCTAAATGATATGATACTCCCAATTCTAAAAGCTCAAAAAACACTACATGTTGGATGTATATTCAACACATACGACACAGGGAAAATGCTATTTGCATAATCCAATCAACAAAAAAAAAAAAAAACCCAGTTTGCCTTAAAAGTAAACAAAACTCATTGTATCTATCTCACTAATTTCTCTTTTGTATTAACATTTCTCTCAGTGTCGTATGCGAGTCGAAAAAGAGATGATTCTAAGAGCCAATCACAAAAGCGTGTATCTCGTCCAACTTGAGGCTGTGTAAAGAATGCCAGACACTTATATAGGACCCACATGAAGAAAGTAGTTTATATATCCGTGTACATCATATCCGGAGTAAAATTTAGAGGGTATGATTTGAAAGTTTATGTAGTAAAACTAGTAATAAGACAATTATAATCCGACAGGGTAGCTCTCTCTGGGGAGAAATTCCGGGATAACCCGGTTCGTGGCGATTCTCTTACGCCCCTCCAACGACCTCCATTCTCCTGTCTTCTCCGCGTTTCCACTCCCCAGCCCATTCTCCTGGTTTTACAAATGCAAGGGGTGCCGACATACTTGGAATGATAACAGCTAGGCAAATTCGCTTCAACAACTGGGAAATTTGGGGAAGTTGATTGAGTTAGACAACTCTGTTCTTCTGGCTACTTATTAAAGTTTTATTTATTTATTTATTGGTGTAAACATTCTTCTGCCCTCATTTTGGGTATTGGGTATGAATTGAGGAAAGTTTGTTCTTTCCCTTTGAAATTTAAGAGCAAAGAAATGGTTATTGGAAACTTTGTAAGAAATTGTCTTCTTTATGCTTAGCTCTCTCTCCTTTTGAAATAGTATGAGAAATCTGGTTGACTCGTTTAAGTTTATGGTTGAGCTAAAGAATTAGAACTGTCTAGCTAGTTGCCCACTGGATGACAATTAATGTTCTGGTTCAGTAATATTGAGAAATTTTGGAATCATTTGTAAAGATTGTTTTTATTATTGGTGTTGTCGTTTTTGGAATCTGTTTAGCATTATTACAAGCATTGGTAACAAGTAGTAAAGAGATGCAAGATTGTTGAGCTTTGATTGCATGGTGAATTAAGAGAGCAAGAAGAGTTAATTGAAGTGACAAGTGAGGAAGCATTAAAGGAATCACAGGGAATGAGGTGTTACTATACTTGTACATCCTCAGATTCCCAGATGCTTCTCCGAGACCTACTCACTACTCACTCAAATAATTTTTACTACCAAGTAATAAAATCCATGCAGAGATGAGACATTCATTCATAAAAGCTAAGCTAGCTTCAATATTCTTCCATCAAAAAGTATTGTTTCTATCTCCAGCCAAATGAATCACATTTACATTTCTGCCTATAAAGAAAGGAATTCATTGTATCTATCTCACTAATTTCTATTTTGTATTAACATTTCTCTCAATATCCTAAGAGCCAAAGACAAAAGCGTGTATCTCAGCCCAGCTTGAGGCTGTGTAAAGAATGCCGGACAGCCCTTTCCAAGTAGAAGAAGAGTCTGCTCCCTCGACCTCGACACATTCCCTCTGCTTCTTAACCACACCAGTAAAGAGTGGAACAAATTTGACACCAAAATGACTCGCCACGCTTATCAGACTTTCGATTGGAGCTAGCACGATCCCTACATCTGCTTTAAGCAAACACAGCAAGTCCCCTACTGCCTCTCCGATGTAAACACTCAGTGCTTTCTTCTTATCATTCCCTTCCCCGCTGCTCTCTAGGAGGATTTTGTCAAAAGCTTCAACCTTGTCAATGGGGGACTGCACCTTCATCATAATTCCACCAGTGGACAAAGATTCTTCAAATTCTAACTCATTCGCATGCACCTTTAAGTCATCTATACCCCCTAGTGACAACACAGACATTAAGAACATTAGGAAGAGATAACGATTTGATCTTCTAATCAAACTCCTCAGTAACCACATACCTGTTAAAAACACAGATCTAATGAGGTAATAACCACACCAACAATAGGAGATCACATGAACATCTGCATTCTTCTTTTTTATAGTTTTGAAAAAATCCATACAACCGTCTTGGAGTTTCAAAAGCTCCCCAGCTCGTCTTATGTTTTCCAGTTTAAGACCTTTAAGCACACCAGATTTAATCACCCTTAAATTTGCTTCTTTCTCAAAATCTGAAAGTTGCTCAAGTGCTTTTCGCAGACCTTCATAGTTCAACTTCTCCGCTGCAAAACCAAAACAAAAATCTAAGCTTGCATGTATGGGGCAATGGGGGTCATCAATTATCACAACCCATGAGATAAAGTAATTACCTTTTTCAGTGGCTAATAACTTCTCTATACACTGCTCATACCCATCTCTGTACTTCTTGGCGATAACTTTCCAATTGTCTCTTAGATCAGACAATGTCATACGTGCAAATTGATTTTCTATTGGGATTTGATCAGATTCTGGAGCTGTTTCTATTGTAAGATCTGCCAAGGTGGAAGCTGAATCAACACAAGTGCATGTCAAATCAAAATTGGAAAATATCATCAGTCGGCGTTCTTCTAGGTTATGCTCTCCTGAGAGGGGTACAATAGCTTTCTGAATAAGTGGCTGAGCTAAGAAAAACTCTATCTCATGTTTAATTCCTTGAGAATAAAGTCCTTCAATGATGCCAAGCTCCTCCACACTCAAAGCCACACTTAACTTGTCCAGCACCTTCTCTGTTTGCAAACAAAAATCCTGGAAAACAACACCTACTATACAGTCATGATTTGTATCTTCTTATTAAAGAAAACAAAACAAAACAAAAATAACCAAACCTGGAAACTGTCTGAGGAGTAACTCTCAATCCACTTCTTGCAGCGATGATTAGTTTCATGTTCGAAAAAAAGTTCCCGCACCTCCTTACCAATGTACGCATTAAGCCTCATGCAAGATGTGAAAGCGCCTAGGATATAAGCGGAAAACTTGGTTTTCTCAAAAGGTTTGATCCCATCAATCTTTCCCGACGCTATAGCCAACAAGAAATTTATGCACTTAGAAGTTGCTGGATTCGGAATAGCATCGTCTTTGACCAAATCAGAGCGCCATTCCTGTAGTCCAATTCCATACATTTATAGAACAAATCGAGAATGAAGAAGAAGAAGCCGGAGGCAAATGACATGTAAATAAACACTTGGTAGTATTTTTACCCGGCGAAAACAGTCGACCTTATTTCTTGTAATCATCCTCAACTCTTTAATCCCATGCATTGCTTCATTATCGTCTGCGTATCCTTCTGCAAACTCAAACCTGTATTACATCCATTATTGATTCCTAAGTTACTACACTTTCTACAAACTAAACAAATAAAAATGGACAAAAAAACTCTGCCAGCAGACTAATGACATTTTAAGAACATTAAAAAAATAAAATACAAATTAAAGAAGGGTGTATCTGGATAATCTCTCTATCAGAATTGAGCTTATAAGAATCCTAAAAGTGCATCCGCATAAACTTCAGAATAAATTGTAGAGAAGCTAAGTAATTTTCAAGAAATGATACGATGGAATTAATAAATTTAAAGAATATAAATGCAAATATGTTTATATACATTGTCTTGCTTGAATTGATCTATAAAATAGAAAAGAAGGAATACATTCAAACGAAAAAGAAATTCCCGCCATAAATAAGATAGAAAAGAACGAACACATTAAAACGAAAAAGAAATTCCCGCCATAAATAAGATTAGAGAAGGTTCTATTCTTCAGGAACCAAAAAAAAAAAAAAAAAAAAAAAAAAAAAAAACAACTGACACTGTAGCAAATAGATCGAGGAAATAAACGTCCTCTGCGACGTACTGTCTGAACGTCTCGTCCTTGAGTTTTCCCGACGCCAAAGAGACGATTAAGGGAGTGTAGAGCGCGAATATCGCCTTCTTCCTGAACTTGACCCAGCAAGTCTGCGCTATGCCGTCGACATTCCCAACCGGCGGCGGCGGATTTGAACTCGAACTAGCCGGCGGCGGCGGATTTGAACTCGAACTAGACGACGTCGACGCCATTCTCGGGTGGTTGCGCGCGCAGTCACGTACTACTACCACTAGCAGTGGCGGAGGATCGGCGGCAGTAACTGCAAAATGGAAATCGGAAAAGCTAGCAGTACAATTCTCGCTCGGGGATTGAATTCGACTCATCAACTAAATCCAACTCATTCACTTATTTAAGCGAGTAATCCAGCGCGCTTAATGCCTAGTCGGCTTAACGGTTACATGGCAAAACTATATGGCGTTGTTCGTTAGGCCGTTAGGGGTTATTTTTTATTTTATAAAATTATTTTTTTAGTTTAAGAGCATATTTAATATATAATGGTAGTTTTTGAGAAATTTTGATATGTGTAACTATAGGATGAATGAGGGGGTAAAAAAAAAAAAAAAAAAAAAAAAAAAAAAAAAAAAAACTCTCCCTAGTTTTTTTATAATCCTTTTGAACAGATATTACATCTTTTTAGTCGAGTAAATCGTGATAAACTGTAAGTGTTAGCATTAGAATGTTGATAAGTCATCTAATTCACCCTAATTGAATGTGTAGAATGAGTTCGATTGTTATATTAGAGCTGTCTTTCGGAATAATTTTTTTTTTTTTTTTTTTTTTGTGCAGTTAGCATCCTGGATGGATAACACAAGGATGGATACAGTTAACGGTCTCCCAAAAACCCTTTACTGGATAGTTGTTCACAACTTTGACTATAACAGGTTTAAGTTAAGATAGTTTCGTACGGACTTAGTTCAATAGTTCAATAGACAATATTTAGAAGAAGAGATCAATGTTCGAACTTCGGTGGTGGCATTGTGGGTCGGGAAGGGTTCTTGGGGTTGGGATTAAATCTTTTGGAAGAAGGTTTAAGTTACTGATCCTCAATACTACTTACAAGGCGTTTGGTTGGAGGGAATTTAAATTCTATTCTCACTTAATTCCCACCTAATTCCAAAGGCCACTAAATTCATTAGTTTGGATGGAAGGAATTGCAATTCCCTCATTTTCATGGAATTAAAATCCCATGCCCCCCCTTGGGATTTTAATTCCATCGATGTTATGAAGAATAAAAGATAATGATGAGACAAATTACCCTCCCCTTTTTTAACCTAAAATTGATACCTGAAAACAACAATGGACATTTTGGACTTTATACTACTTATCCCTTTCAATTCCCATGTATACCAAACATTGGAATTGAAATTCTCAGTAATTTTATTTCTGTAAACCAAACACTGGAATTTAAATTCCACTTTATTCCCAGTAATTCATCTCTAATGGAATTGCAATTCCTTTCCCACGTAATTCTCTCCCTCCAACTAGGGCTGTCAATGCGGGCCGACCTGCCTCATTAGGCCCGCCCCACCTCGGGCTTTTTATTTGGTGGGCTTTTGCGGGCCAGCCCGCGAAGCCCGTGGGCTTGGAACTATACAGCCCAAGCCCGCCCCACGCGGGCTTGCGAGTCTCGCTGGCTGGCCCGCGTGCCATCACTTAAATTTAAAAAAAAAAACATTAAATACAATATAAACATGTTAAAACCGCTTGAAATATGACACTATTTATTGGTCGTTCTTTCGCATCCTCACGATGTACGATACACCTCAATGCACCGAAAACTTCCATAAAATTCATAAACCTCGCCCAAATCTTCTGGATCGATACCGCGCGTTGAGCAAAACTGTAGAAGGGTGATCAAAGCTAGGGTTCAACAGCACACTCTATTTCTCTCTCAGCTTCAAATTTTCCCTCTACAGTTCCCGTTTGTGTATAATACATATATAAATATGTATGTTTGCTGGACTTGGAGGCGATTTTGTTGTGGGCTCCGATCAAGAAAGATTGATGGTTGGGCGATGGAAACAAAGGAAGGGAGGTGGTGGTGTAAAGGCTCGCCACTCCAAGGATGGAGATAAGAGTTGACGCCACTTAGGAGATAAATCCCAAGATAAGTCAAAATACTCCTCAAGAACTCAAGGAAAAGAAATTGCCACAGCAATATTCTTGAATTTACTACTATCAAAGTTGTTCATCAAACAATTTAATAGCAAGGCTATTTATACAATTTAGCAAGCCCCTACATCAATGGCTTTTAAGTTCAAAATGAACTATTCTAGTGCTATACTAGCTTAAAAGATGCAACTAGCCACAAGACTAGGATAACTAAGTCAAATAGGCTTTATAAAAACTAAATTCTAATTGAATTTAGGATTTATAAGTCTAATATGGACTTTACAAATTAAATAGCAGAGGGACGGTCTAAAATAATCTTAACTTTTATTTGCAAGAAAAAAAAAACTCCAAGTGTCGATTTATAAGGTATGAACCTCCACTCGATCTTTATTCTTCAAATTATGCCTGAATCAGATTGACCACCTTCCATTCAACTCCATCTTCATATTCTTGATTAGCTTCACTTACTCCTTTAATAAGGCCATTCAAAGCTTCATGAAATGTCTTCGTCTTTGCTCTCGTCATTGGACCTCCCAAGGTTTGCAAAGGATCTGTTTCTTTGTTCCCATCCTCATAGTTGTCCTCACCAGATTTAGTAAGTCATAAATATGTATGAATTGATGATTTAGTTTTAGTAATTGTTTGATAGAGTTGGAGGTGGATGGAGACGGGAGAACCGAAGAACTACATACTTTAGGACTTCAATAACTACGTAATTTAAAAAAAAAAATATTTTGTAAATTAAGAGACGAACTTCAATGATTAATTGGTTTAATTTAAAAAGTGAAAGTAGGTCCTTTTGGACTAATCTTATGTTCCGTTTAGAAACTTAAAATGAGTTTTGAAAGATTTTTTTTTTTTTTTTAAATTAAGTTTATGTAATCAGGAAAATAATGTCAAAAGAAAATATTCATTTTCAAAGTGTTTTTGTAAATAAATAAATAAATAAATAAAACTCTTAGAATAAAAATGGCTAAGTTGACAATTATCAAATCTTGTGTGGTTCCCTGTTTCACCAAACGGTACAATATAATATTTTTCTATAAATTCATAAAAATGTTCTGATAAAATTTGACTTGATGAACATGTTCTAGACATGGAAGATAGAACATCTACGCAGAGAATTGAAAGATGAAACATTCATAAACGCAAACTTCAATATTGTTCAAAGAGAAATGATCGATCAAAAAGTATTGTTTGTGGCTAAGATCTCCAGCCAAATGAATCACATTTACATTTCTGAGCACAGTAGCCTCCTGCCTATAAGGAAAGGAAGAGTTGCAGTGTGTGTAGCCACAATAAAATTGGCCACCAAACTCATTGTATCTATCTCACTAATTTCTATTTTGTATTAACATTTCTCTCAATGTCCCAAGTCAAAAAAGAGATGATCCATCCTAAGAGCCAATCACAAAAGCGTGTATCTCAGCCCAGCTTGAGGCTGTGTAAAGAATGCCGGACAACCCTTTCCAAGTAGAAGAAGAAGATGAAGAAGAGTCTGCTCCCTTGACCTCAATGCATTCCTTCTGCTTATCAACCACACCACGAAAGAGTGGAATAAATTTGACGCCAAAATGCTTCCCCACTCTTCTTAGACTCGAGCTTGAACCTACCACGATGCCTACATCTGCTTCAAGCAAACATAGCAAGTCCCCTACTGAATCTCCAATGTAAACAGTCAGTGGTGTCTTCGTATCACTCACGCACCTCTTTACGAGGATTTTACCAAAAGCTTGAACCTTGTCAATGGGGGACTCCACCTTCTTCACAATTTCACCAGTGCACAAAGATTCTTCAAATTCGAGCTCGTTTGCATGCACCTTTAGCTCGTCATTTAAACCCCCTAGTAGACAGACAGTAAAGAACAGTGAGAACCATGCTACACATACATTAGTAAGGGATAACAAGTTGAGATCTTCTAATCAAAGTCAACTTAGTTACAGGCTGTGTCTCACATACCTGATGAAAAGGCAGATCTAATGAGGTCACCACACCAACAATAGGAGAGCACATGAACATCTGCATTCAGACTTTCCTTTTTTATTACAGTTTGGAAAAAATTCATACAACCATCTTGGAGAATCAAAAGCCCCCCAGCTCGTTTAATGGCTTCCAGGTTAAGACCCTTAAGCACACCAGATTCAATCACCCTTAAATTTGCTTCTTTCTCAAAATCTGAAAGTTGCTCAAGTGCTTTTCGCAGACCTTCATAGTTCAACTTCTCCGCTGCAAAACCAAAAGCAAAAGCCTAGAATCTAAGGCACGAATCAATAGGGGTCATCAATTATCACAAGCCATGAGATAAAATTACCTCTTTCAGTGGCTAACATGTTCTCTATACACTGCTCATAGCCATCTGTGTAATTCTTGGAGAGAACTTCCCAACTGTTTCTTAGATCAGACGATGTCATACGTGCAATTTGATTTTCTGTTCGGACTTGATCAGATTTTGAAGCCATTACTATTGCAATTTCTGCCAAGATGGCAGATGAATCAACAAAGGTGCATGTCAAATCAAAATCGGAAAATATCATCAGTCGGCGTTCTTCTAGGTTATGCTCTCCTGAGAGGGGTACAACAGCTTTCTGAATAAGTGGCTGAGCTAAGAAAAAGTCTATCTCATGTTTAATTCCTTGAGAATAAAGTTTTTCAATGATGTCAAGCTCCTCCCCAGTCAAAGAGACACTTAACTTGTCCAGCAACTCCTCTGTTTGCAAAGAAAAATCCTAGAAAACAAATACATGACCCAGTAAGAAACATGTCATACGTATCTTCTTAAAAGTTTGAACTACAGAGACTTGAGATGATGATAAGAAGAATAATTGGGTATTTGGGTTCAAAGAAAACAAAAATAACCAAACCTGGAAACTGTCTGAGGAGTAATTCTCAATCCACTTCTTGTAGCGATGATTACTTTTATGATCAATAAGTCCCTGCAGCTCCTTACCAATGTAGGCATAAAGCCTTATGCAGGATGTCACAGCACCTAGGGTATAAGCAGACAACTTGGTTTTCTCAAAAGGAGTTGCAAGTTTACCAGTAGCTTTGACCCCATCAATCTTTCCTGAGGCTGTAGCCAACAAGAAATCTGTGCACTTAGAAGTTGCTGGATTCAGAGTAGTATCTTTGACGACATCAGAGCCCCATTCCTGTCCAATTGGTAAATAATAGCACAACCAACAATCAAAAATATATGCACGCCACCACATTTTTGCATCATGACCACTCTTCAGATTTTCTTATAACTCAGCACACAATAATGGGTAGATGCAAATGCAAAAATTTGAGTTTGTCATGGAGGCAATCCATGACAATTTGCACAAGAAAAAAAATAATAATAATAAAGTGATATGTGAAAGCAAGTAAATAAACACAACTATTTTTACCTGGACAAAAGAATCATGCAAGTTGAGTTTGTCTAGGGTAGTATTCCTCAACTCACTAATCCCATGCTTTGCATCATCATCCTCTGCGTATTCTTCTGCTAACTCAAACCTGCAATACATCCATTATTGAATTGTAAGTTACTACACTTTCTAGAAACTGCAATACATCCATTATTGATTTGTAAGTTACTACACTCTCTAGAAACTAAACAAATACAAATGAAGCAAAGGGGCAAACGGTACCAAAGTTAATGAACAAAGAGACTCATCCAGCATATCTTGCAGACTAATGACATTTTAGAAAGAAGAAATGGTCTGGATAAACTCTCTTTCAAAATTAAGCTTCAGAAGAGTCCTAAAAGTGCACCCCCATAAGATACCACACACGCAAACTTCAGAATAAATTGCAGAAAAGAATAGAAATGAAAACGCTATGTTTATCCACATTGTCTTGTTTGATCAATAAAATAGAAAAGAACGAATACATTAAAACGAAAAAGAAATTCCCGCCCGATATACACATAATCTATAGATATATCAAAAGACAGAATACGATTAAGATGAGAGGTTCTATTCTTCAAGGACAAAAATAAAACGTAAAAAAAGAACTGACGCTTGAGCGAATGGCCCGAGAAAATAAACGTCCTGTGCGACGCACTGTCCGAACGTCTCGACCTTGAGATTCCCCGACGCCAAAGAGACGATGAAGGGAGTGTAGAGCGCGAACGTCGCCTCCTTCCTGAACTTGTGCCAGCACTTCTTCGCTATCCCTACGACTTCGTCTACCTCCTTCGGGAGCTTGGGAATATTCCCAACCGGCGGCGGCTTTGAACTCGAACTAGCCGACGTCGACGCCATTCCAGTACAATTCTCGGTGGTTACGCAGTCACTACTACCACTAGTAGTGGCGGAGGATCGGCGGCGGTGACTGCAAAACGGGAATCGGAAAACCGAAAGATTGAATTCGGCTTTCGGGGATGAAGGTTTGGGAACTATTCTGGATAATAAGAGACGCATCAAGTAAATATATACCAAAATTTCGAGAATTAATTTTATTTTTTTTTAATTTCAAAATTGACTCAGTTATTAAATTTAATTAATAGGAAAAAAAAAACTAAAATCAAAATATATATATCTCTATACAGGTTTGAACGAAGAAAAGCAAATCGCCGGAGAGCTTGAGATCCCGGAGAAGAAGAAAGGCTGGGCCTGGGGAAGTGTTGTTTGGGGATAATTACGGGGGCAAAAGTGGGATTTTCATTTAATTTGGTATTTTCTTTTTAACTTTTTGCTATGGGCTGTATGGGCAATCTAGTCAAACAAAGGCCTTCGGAATTTTGTGAAAGATAAGTTGGGCCTTCCAAATCCACCTTAAACATTTCAACTGAATTCGCACAAATTATATTACGACAAATACATCAAATCCGATTCGAATATTCATTATTATAACAATATACTATTCATTAAGGTTTAAAATAATATTTAGGCCTGTTTGGTAAATGATTATAAGTTGTTAGGTGATAGCTGATTGGATCAATTAAATTATATAACTAATTGATAACAAAGTGTATGGTAAATTAGTTGTTAGGTGATATCTGTTTGGTATAATTTTTTTATTCTCAAAAAATTAATTGAAAAAGTTGTTTTGAACAGCTTTTAGCATTTTGGAATTACAAAAAGTTAATTAATCAAATAATTTTTTAACCAAGTCAAATAATTAATAATAGTTAAATAAATTAAAATTGATTGATAGATTAACTATTTTACCAGACAGGCTGAGTCTTAATATATATGCATATATGTTGGGATCTGATTGGCATTTGGCAGCATGTAACCACCAACTAAATTGGATGAATATAATGCGAGGAAAGAGTACGTGTTTCCCGCCCCCACAAAAAGCCAAAACTTGTGCCACACTAATAGCTAGCTAGCTAGCTTTCCCAAATTCAATTCAATCACAACATTATATTCAAGTATTTGAGGTAGAATTTCACAATCCAAACATTATTTTGTACAGATCGATTATATTATTATTACAACTGGATGAAATTAATCTGATCGATCTCATGGAAAACCAGATTCTCTTTCTACAATCATTACTTGCAATAATCACAATTATCCTAAGCTTCTTCAACTATGGCGCCTGCGAGATCAAGAAAACAAACATCGTCGACGATTCCAGGCCCATCATCCTCTTCGAGCGCTTCGGCTTCGCCCTCAACGGCGATGTCACGGTTTCCGTCGAACACGTCTTGTACAGATCCAAGCATCACGACGCAAAGCTTAACCCGTCTTCCATGGGGTTTTTCCTCGTCAGCGACGCCTCGTTTCCCAGGATCCTCAACGAATCCTCGTACACAGAAGCCTTCTGCGTTCTGTCCAGCCAGTACGTGAAGCCGGTGTTCAAGTTCGACGAGCTGTCGCCGGTGTCATCGCACAACGCGACGCTGGTGATCAGCGAGGAGCCCGACGAGTATAATCTCATCTTCGGGAACTGCCAGCCGGAATTCCATGTTTCCATGAGGGTGTTCACGGAAATGTACAATGTTAACGGGAACGGCGAGAAGGATTTTCTCCCGGCGGGGCAGACGCAATTGCCGATGATTTTCTTCTTCTTCTTCTCCGTTTACCTGTGTTTCTTAGCAGTCTGGGTATCCGTGTGCGTGAAACAATCAGAAACCGTGAAAAAGATCCACATTATCATGCTGGCATTGCTGGTTTTCAAGGCGTTGAGGATGATATGCGCGGCGGAGGACAAAATGTTCATCAGAAAAACCGGGACCCCGCACGGCTGGGACGTGGCGTTCTACATCTTCGGCTTCCTCAAAGGCATCACTCTCTTCACCGTCATCATCCTCATCGGCACCGGCTGGTCGTTCCTGAAACCCTATCTACAGGAGCGGGAGAAGAAGCTGTTAATGTTCGCGATACCGTTGCAGGTGGTGGAGAACATAGCGGCGGTGGTGATAGCCGAAACGGGGCCGGCGAAGAAGGAGTGGCTGGTGTGGAACGAGACGTTCTTGTTGATCGACGTGGTTTGCTGCTGCACTATATTCTTCCCAATCTTCTGGTCCATCAGGAGCCTCCGGGAGGCGTCCGGGAAGGCGGCGAGGAATCTGGAAAAGCTGACGCTTTTCAAGCAGTTCTACGTGGTGGTGGTGGCGTATTTGTATTTCACCAGGTTAGGGGTGGCGATGATAGGGAATGCGGTGAGTTACATGCATGAATGGGTGGTGGTGGCCGCCGCCGAAACCGTCAACTTAGTGTTCTATCTCTTCATATTCTATAATTTCCGGCCGATTGAGAAGAACCCGTATTTAGCCGTCGATCATTACGGGGAATCTTCACCCACCCATCACTCAAAAGCAAATGATGAACACGACTTCATTCAAGATTTGTAATTTGATTGCAATGGTTATGGAAAGTTAGTTGTTTCTCAGCTCACAATGTGCTGCGCTGCTAGCTTGTAAACAATTATCAGATTAGTCTCTATTAGTGTATATTAATTAAATATAATACTCCGTATATAGACAGTCTTGTAATTATGCAAAGTGACTGATGGATACCCCTAGTAGGGTGTGCCCCTAGGCGATCAGGAGATTGCGTAGTGATCACTTGAAAGACGAGTAAGGTCTCGCGCAACAGCTTAAATTAGCTCCGACTAACCGCTTATTTAGCTTCAGTCGATTCGGTTAAGCGACCAGACATACACTCAGATGGGTCCTGACCGAGTACTGCACTCAGAGGCGGTGTAAAGAGATTTGACGGGATTCTTTCATTTGGCGGTATGGTATTTTCATTTTTTACATTAGGAAGTTAATCTAGCAGTTTTAGAAGCTTTCCTACGTTCTTTGTTGGTAGATTATTTTTCTCCTTTTCTTTTTGAAGGACCAAATCTCTTCTATAAATACCCTATAGGGTCACATTGTAAAGGGTTTTGAATTCAACACAATCACTTTTATTCTGTCGAATTTCTCTCACTTTTTACTTAATACTTTTATGGTAATGTTGACCTAAGCGGTAAAATCAATCGTGACTATTTCTAAAATTGTGCTTAACTAGATATTTAGATCATATGCAAACTTGTCATCAGGTGTATAAATAATACTAGTCTTTTCTATGCGCAATGCTTAAAAATATATGCCCAATATTTATATTTTTTTAAAATAATTGGCAAATCCTTACCAATTAAAATCTATATGAAATCAAATTTATTTATTATAATAATCCAATATATAATGTCTACAGATATTATTATCATTAAAGAATATAAGAAAATATATGGTGGATGCATGTGCATGATAACAATAATGGGAAAAGACAACGGAAGTTATAACAGTAGGGATATTTTTGTCCAAAAAATTATATAATACAACTCTAAAAGCACAGTGTACAAAATGATTAGCATTAAAAACATGGACATAAATGAAGGATATAACTTTGATTGATACTTATTATATTTTTATAAATTATATATAAGCTTAGAAGAATTGCCAGCTTGAATTAATCTTAGAGCATCTTCAAGGGAGCTACAAAATTGTATAATCCAACGCCAAAACACCAAACCTGCAAATTTCACTGCTCCAATTGGGAGACTGCATCGCTGCATAACTGCATTACGTCATTTTGTTTGGCGTGGTATTGTTCATCCACAACAAATGTATAATTGAGAGGAATTTCAAATGTATCATTTATTTATTTTATATGTAATTTTTTATTTTGTTAAATACTTATATTTAAAGTTTGTATTATTAAATATAAATTATACCATTTTAGAGATCTGAGATGATCAAAACAAGACTAATATTGAATATATATTAATTAAAATTTCAAATACATCAAACATAACTAGAACATAATAAAACTTAAAATACATACGACATAATATTGATATTCGAAAATACAACATAATTTTCAAAAATATTGTTAAATTTGATTTTTTTTAAAAATAATTAATGTTATAAAAAATCAATGTTAATAAAAATTATTATTTACATCACAAGTTATATTTTATATTAAATTAATTGAGTTCGAGTTAAATTATATTAAACTAATTAACCAGGACTATGTGGTCCAATGGTATCCGGGTTGGACTTCCATTTGGAAGATTATAAGTTCGAGCCTCAGTGGAGGCGTTATTGGTTCTTTGTGTTTCAATAGGTTGAGAAAGTATATGAACAGATACTACAATGTAATAGAGCCAGTAACTTTCAAAAAAAAAAAAATATTACAAAATGTAATAGAGCCAGTAACTTTCAAAAAAAGAATAATTGAGAAATCAAATTATTTTAGTGTAGAAATTTTGTGTTTTGATGTTTTTGGTGTAAATGGGTTAGAGATTGAATAAAATTTGGTGTAAAAATATTCATTATGATGTAACATTTGACTGAAAAATTTAGTGTTTTGGTGTGAGTTCAAGATGCTAGCTCTTAACTAATTCGGTTTATATTTAACAATATTTCAGTTAGATATATTTATAGAGAATTAAACACGGTCAAAAGACCTTCAGTATATGTCTTAGATAGGATCATTGTCCTTGACTAAGTCCTATGTGATTATTCTTAAGGAATAAGGGTCAAATAGGCAATTAGGCCACTGAACTTAAAAAAAATCAGGGTCCTTAAACTAATCAATTTCAAACAATTCTTTCAATTTGAAAGTTTTCAACCGGTCATCCTCTCAAATTAATTATTTTTTAAAAATAAAGTTTAAAAATTAATTATTTACATTAAAAAAAAAAACAAAAAACAAAAAAAAAAAACAAAAATCGGCCGGAGACGTAGAAGGTTTCTTCGTCTCCGGCTGGCTGTTTTTTTTTTTTTTTTTTTTTTTTGGAAACTTTGAAAGAAATTGTGTTCTTTATGCTTAGCGCTCTCTCTCTTTTTGAAATAGAATGAGAAATCTATGAGACTATGAAAAGGATTGCAACCAACACACTAAGGTATAATCCTGAGATTCCCAGATGCTTCTCCAAGACCTACATACTCAGTCAACAAGTAATAAAATGTTCAAGACATGGAAGATATATAGAAAGAGAGAGAATTGAAAGATGAGACATTCATTCATAAAAGCTAAGCTAAGCTAGCTTCAATATTCTTCAATCAAAAAGTATTGTTTGTGGCTAAGATCTATCTATCTCCAGCCAAATGAATCACATTTACATTTCTGCCTATAAGGAAAGGAACTCATTATTGTATCTATCTCACTAATTTCTATTTTGTATTAACATTTCTCTCAATGTCCCAAGTCAAAAAAGAGATGATCCATCCTAAGAGCCAATCACAAAAGCGTGTATCTCAGCCCAGCTTGA